ACTCCATCCGGTCCCTAAAGACCCAGCGCCTTTGGCTCCCGTAGATGCTGGAGCCGACGTGACTTCCCAGACAGCGGGCTTTTCTGGGGTGCTCGCAAGACCTGCTGCCCTCCGCCCCCTCCTTCATCCTGGGGGCTTTGCTGCTCTCCGTGGCTTCTCCTGGTACTTCCCCCAATCACGACAGGAGGCGTCCAGGACAGCCTCTGTAGTGGTGTGATCCCAAGAAAGCAGACATAGCAGGACACTGCAGGCGTGCAAGAATGACCCCGGGTTGTACATGCGGGACCACCCGCCCCTTCAGCAAGACAGACATCGGAAGGCGTGCAGGTGACTCTTTAAAGTTTTAATGACTCCCCTGAGAGCCCTTTATCTGCAGTGAGCCAGCCCCCAAGGACACTGGGACCCAGTTAGCCCGGACAGACTCGCAGCGAATGCGACTTTGGCAAGGAAATCGCAAGAGCGCGTCGCAAACCTTCCCCAGGTGGAGTGCTTCTGTCCACACGCGTTCCCCCAACACTCACTTCTCTACTTCTTCACCCCCGTACTCACCCCTCCCTCCAGAGTCTCCAGGGAGGCCCTCATGCCCTACTAGCGCGCCCCAGCACCCCCTGCACCAGGAGAGAGAGGCGGTGAGCCGGCGGGGGGCTGGCTGGTGCTGCCATCTCGGTCCGCATCACCCTTTGGCTTCCCACTGATCCTCCGGCGTTAATCAAACCCAGTCCAGAATGAAACTACAGCGTGCTTCTTGTTCTGGTATGAAATGTGCAAAGCACAGACCATATCATTAACATAAAACTTCCCGAAATAAGGCCACTTTCCAGACAGACTGTATTAATTGCATCAAGCTTCCACAGCTAGGGTGGTCTAATCCACAGTGTCCCATTGGATGGCTCCGGTTATAAAAACCAACACAAATGAACACTGGGATATAATTGAAGGAGGAGAACACGATAGAGTCTACTGTTAAACCCTACTATTTACTTACAGGTATTCTTTTATCTTTATTGTCCCTTTAACCCATGCCAAGAAACCCCAGATTAGTTAAATAATACAGCAAGCACAATTTCAGTAGAAAAGTAAATTGAATTTAACTTTACAAGATTGCCCTGTGATTTCAGCATCTAGTAATGGCTGCAACTGACTCCTATTAAATCCAAATACTTCCACTTCCCCGAGCTGGGATCCTGTGTGTTCTCGTATGAGACCTTGAACTTCACCAAGCACATGTATTAATCACTGTGGCGGATGACCATCGTTGGCATTTAAATATGCAGTGAAGTTTCTCAGTTCCCTTTCCACCTCACGATGCTGGTACCTGATCTGAGCCAGCCGAGAGGCTAGAAGCATTTATGAGTGGATCAGCTTGTGTATCCACTATCAGTGGTCCAGCTTGAAGTAAAACTCCACACAATGCCGGACATGTATTGATGCAGTGTCATAAAACCTGTTCTGCTCAAGCATGAGTCATAACTTCTACAGGGTTCACTCAGCGTGAGGCACTGGGCTCAGCACCTGGCACACAGGACCTCATTCAATCCTGAAACCAATCTTGCAAGGCGTGTGCTATCATCACCCCCATTTTATAGCTAAGAAAACGGAGACACGGAGAGGGAAAGGACTTGCCCAAGGTCACGAAGCCATAAAGGACAGCAGCCTTCGCCCAGGCAACGGATTCACTCTAATGACTGCCTGCCACTCTTGGAAACCTCAGAATGGGGAAAGGTTCAGGGGAGCCAAAGCCCAGAGGTTTTCAAACCATTCTCTGAACCCCCACCCCTGCCCTGGGAACCTTAACCAAGTCACATGCCTAGTCATCCACACCAGCCTGTAACTGAAACTGATCAGTATCATGTGCTTTAGAAGTCAAATGTGGAGCTTCATTTTTAAATGTCACATATATAGATCATATGATACACAGGTAAGTGTATATATGCATATATACTTTTATTACAGAAGAAGAAACAGGCCCAGAGAGGGAGAGTGGCTTTCTCAAGGTTACCAGCCAGGTGGAGAAAGGGCCAGGACCACAGGCTGAGCTTCTGGACACCACGGGCACCCTGGAGAAGTTCCTCCATGAAATTTCTCAGGGAAGAAACTTCAGTTCCCAGGAATGCCCAGACTCAAAGCCACCACCACCACCACCCCCGGCTGTTATTTCAGCAGAGTCAAAAAAAGTAACGAAGAACCCAAGTCCCTTCTCCCCACCATGACCATCAGGAGGTCTGGGGTTAGGATCCTAGGAGGTGGAGCTGTCTGGGACGCTACCAGCCAGAGAGATTCACAAACACAAACCTGAGTGGCTTCTTCCCCCACAAAATCACATCCTTCTATAAATAACTCTGAATGCGTTCACGGGCATGCAATTAACCTGTGTGAAACACGGTTACTCCGGGGTTTTCCGTATTAATTTGAAGAGATAGGTTCAGTGCATCCTGATCTGAAAAGAGACAAAACAAAGTAAGGACGGTGGCCCCTCTCCGTCTTTACAGAGGATTGCTTCTTCCTAACGGGTTACTGTGAATTTAATGACTCCATTCCAACTACTAATTAAACAGGCACTAAAAACACTTCAGCAAACAGCCCAGCGCCAGGGACAGAAGCCACAAAGGGACAAAAACCTCCGGAGCAGAATATTTTCAGGTACTGAAACTGATCAGAAAGGACAGGGGGACAGCCTGGAGGAGGCTATCGATGGAGAACAAAGGCGGTGCTGGAAATCACAGCCTAGCACCAGAGGCTGAGAACAGACCTCCGAAGAGAGCTGGAAAGAGCGGTCGCAGAGACCCCAGAAACAGAGCCCACCCTGCCTCACTCTCCTCCCCGGGCACCGCCATCAATTTGGGGGCTGCTCACAGGCGCTAAGCCCTCACAGTTCCAAGCTCTGAAATCCAAGAAGGCCTCTAAGCTAGTGGAGCCAATGCCAAAGATGAAGGGGGTGCGGGATGACCAGCCAAGGTCAAGTCCCACCTCTGCCCTTCTATTCCCATCAGAGCATCCTCTCTGCAGGACCCTCTGCCGGCTCTCCCCATCTCCACCCATGCAAGCTGCCGGAGGCCAGGGGCCGGCTGCACAGTGCCACAAAGTAGGTGCCCAAGAAAGGGCTTTTCATGGAAGAATGAATGAATGAATGTGAGCTATCAGACCTCCACATCTCTGAGCCTCGTGTTTCCATCTGTCAAGTGGGGACAGTGTCGTCCTAAGGTTCCCATGAGAACTGAATCCAAGAACATACACAAAGGCCCAGTGCAATGGCGTACACGGTAGGCCCCTCCACACGTGGTCCCTGGAAGGAAGTGGGTGGCAGTGTGGCTGTGGGCGGGCGTGTGAACCCGTCCAGTGAGAACACTCCTGGATGCAGGCTCAGTAGGAACAGGGTGGCCTCGCTGGGAGCCTCCCTACGACGGCCACTCAGCCTCCCCAAGCCTTTACCTCCCCATCTGCAAAATGGGGATGTAATAGCTCCTGCTCAGCACGGCGGCAGCTTTTAAGCAGAGCCGGGCCCAAGAGAGGGTTAAGCACAGCCCCGGGTGCACCTCTGCCAGGTAAGTCATGTTTCTGTAACCGAAGACCTTGACCAAGTCTAGTCATAAACACTCAGGTTGATCTTTGATAGCGTGACCCCTCGCGTGGTCACAGGGGCTGCAGCCCTAATCACAGGAAGCCACGAGGGCAGGGCAACCGCCCAGACGAAGCAGGCATCCCTCGCCCAGCACACAGGGATCAGAGCCCGCACCCCCAGAGCTGGGATGGGAGCCCCGATTCCCCAAGGGGCACTAGGGCAGCCCGGAGCCGGGAGCTGGCTTCTCTGCCGGCGGTGCCGACCCCTTCCCGGACCGTTTCAGTCTTTGCTTTGTGAATTCCAGGCATGAGCCTGGCGGACAGCACAGCGGGAGCTGAGGAGGGCTGCGGGCCGCCTGGCCAGCAGGAAGGCCTGGGGGACTCTGGCCCCTGCAGCCGGGGCCACCTGGTTCCAGCACAGCCAGTCCTTCCAGACAGCTTTGGTTAAAGCAAAATCTGTCCAGTAACCATCGTTTTCCCTTCTCTACCCGAATCAAGAGAAAGCCTGTAAGGTGCCTGGGGACAACGCTGGGGCAAGCCGAATCTGCCCCCGCTCTGCACCCAGCCTTGTCCTTTCCTGGCCCGTCTGGAACCCAGACCTCAGGGCCCTCCCCACCACCTGTGTCTACGTCAGCATCCTGGCAGCAGGCCCTGAACAGGGCAGGATGGGACGGGAGGACTCTGCCTGCAATTTCAGGGACCCCGGGCCACAGCAGGGGTGTGGGTCATGTTTGGGAAGACAGATGGGCAGTTCCACGGAAGACAGGTCTCTCCACTGTGCTGACCCCGTGTCTGCCCATCTGTATACCCCGAGCAGCTGCAAAGACCTGCGAAGCACACAGTAGGCGTGTGCACGGCCCCACTCGGCAGGAACCCCACCAGGCTTCACCCCCTCCCACCGCCACAGCCAAAAGGCTCCTTGGTAGTGACTCTTGTGTCTCAGAGTTAAGGGGCAACACATTCTGGCAAAGAGAAACTCAGCGTCTTGGACGGCTCCGGCGATGGACACAGACAGCCAGGGAACCTTCTCCCAGCGCCGTCCTCGGGGTGGGGGGCAGTGACTGGGGCACGGGAGAGGGGACGGCAGGGGCGAGAGCAGAAGAAAACCTCAGATGTTAAGCGTTTTCCAATTAAGCTTTAGCTAAACAGCCCAAAGAGATGAAATTTGGAAGCTGAAGGAATGCATTCTGGGAGCAACACGCTCAGAACGGGCAGAGGCATCGAGGGACCCGCTAAGTGATGGGGACAGGTAGGGGCACGGGCGTGCAGTTCGGCCGACGGCCTTCGCCACTTCCCCGGTGCCCCTTTGGGGTAGGTCCGCACATCCTCCCTGGGTCCCCACCTCGCCCAGCCCCCCCCCCCAAGAGGCGGCGGCCGGCCCTGCCCAGGGCACACCCCGCCATCCCTGGGAGCCCGCCTCCCCCACCGCGGCCGTCTGTTACCTGACAACTGACACTGGCATCCAAAGGGAGCCTCCGTCTGACCCTCACCCTGAGTCCCGTCACCCGAGACCGGGCGCACGCTGCAGCAGGGCAGGGGAAAGCAGGGCGGCGGGGCGCCCAGGGTGCGCAGAGGTGGAGTGGCCACGGATGAGTGAGGGTGGGAGGAGGCAGCTATGGGGGCCGTCGCTGGCAGCTGGGCAGGCCTGCACGGCCCTGGAGAAAAAACAATAAAAAAGACTGGTCAGTCGGGCCCTGGACCATACAAGGGACCCGGGGTGTGGGACAGGGGCCCAGGGCAGAGGGCTGCAGGCCACCCTTCCAGAGTGGGAGGCCCCGGGGTGCCAGGCCCTGCAGGGAAGGCAACTGGGCACAGGCTGGAGGAATTGGTAAGAGGCCATAGGAAGTGGGGGAGGGGAGGCCTACTTCCACAGCTGCCAGGTTGGGCCGTCCTGGGACCAGACTCCCATCCCTGGGGGGAGGCCAAAAGAAGCTGTCAGGACCCCTGTACCCAGGAAGACCCCCACCCACCATGTGGGGGCTTCTGGAGTGTTCTGAAGCTGGCTTCCTTCGGGGATTCATTCCCAAAAGTCTGGGCCACCCCCCTCTGGAATAGCTGGGAAGCACCAAGCCACCACTGTTGGCTCTATCAGGACGGGCTGTCTGTTCAGGCCTCGAACACCTCAGTCTACCTCTGAGCACCTGGGCACCAGTTAACCTGCGGCTTGGCGGCCAGCCAGCTGCTGTCTCTCTCCAGCCCGGTGTCCTCAGCACCCTGGGCACCAAGCACAAGGCACACAAGCCCCCAGGCCCCTTTCTAAAGGCTTTGAACGCTCCCTCCATCCCAGGAAAACCCTGGTACTGCCCAGCACCCCGCTTAACACCTCCACCCTGGCTGGGGGCGTCTACCCCTACCCCCCAGTCTAACAGCCACGCTGCAGGGCCAGGAGCGAGGCCTGCCTCCGCCCAGCCCCACGGCTTGCCATGGCTCCCCCCGCAAGGCCTGCGTTTGATTTGGCCGTTTATCTTAAATGGCTAAGAGACCACCAGGGCAAAAATCCGTGTGAAGCCCTTGCCAAAACCACAAGTGAAGAAGCCCAAATTCCCTGGGTAAATAATTGAGCAGGGAAGCATCAGAGAGACAGAAAGAAAACATCAACAAGATGAGGGGCAGCTGGGCCCTGGGCCGGCTCTGCCAAGGCGGCCACCCGACGCCGCTCTCCACCCTGCACGCATCTGCAGGGTGGAGGTCCAGCCGCTTCGTGGCCCCGCGAGGGATTCCCCCATCCAGGAGAACCGCGGGGGCCCCCGCAAGCCCACTTGGAGCCAGGAACCTGTCAGTCTTCACCCAGAGTGCGCTCGCTACACGCCCTCGGGGCAGGGCTTCGGAGACCCATCGCGAGGACCAGGAAGCCGATGACGTGACCACAGAAAACTGCAGACGCCAGCAGCCAGCCCCGCCAACCCCTGGCCGCCTGGCTCCGGAACCGGAACTCTTCGCTCTAGCACCTGCCTCTGCAAGACGTGTGTTATCCGGGGCCGGGGGCATCAGGACCCCTGGGCAGACCTGCAGGTGTCCTGCCAGGGAAGCCAAAGCCACGTGGGGCCCCTCTGTGCCAATGAAGACCTCGCACGAGGCACGGCTCAGGACTTGGGGCCGTGCTGAGCCCATGACAGCCCGAGAAGAGCAGAGCCAATGATCCCACACAGTTCCAGCCACACATTCAGTGCAAGCCCCCAGGCAAAGCAGGCACCTAAGGCCGGTGTCAGCTGCCTCCTCCCAGGAGTCTGTCCTGACCAGTCCTTGCCTAACCTTCGACCCCAGGACCTGACACCGCACATTCAGTCCTGTCCCTATCAGCCTGGCTTCACACCATGGCTTCGTGCTGGGCACGTACCACAAAACACAGTTCACCACCACTCCCTCACTCAGTAGGGAAAACCGGCCCCATCCCAGAGGGGGTGCTGGGGCTCAGGGAAATCTGAGATTCAAACCCCGTTGCATCTCCAAAGGCCGGATATGCCCTGCCTCCACCTCGGGCTGCAGCTGGGGCAGGGTGACCAGGGTGCCCTGGGATGCTGAGAAGAAGGGCCATGTGGAGCACAGGGAACCTGGAGGGTCCTTGGGCTCAGTAAGGCCTTGGGAGGTTGGAAAAGAGCGAACCCAGGCCTCCAGGCTCTGGGTGAAACCGTGACTCGGCCACCACCACTCACTATGGCTACGAAAGAGCGACAACTCGAGTGTCCGGGGGCCTGATACCTGTCTTCCCAAGCAGTGAAGAACCAGGACCTGTCTCCAAGGCTGGAAGGAAGGGTCAAAGGGCAAGTCCAGTCACACCCCTCTCCTTCTGGAAGGGTCAAGCTTAGGCTAGAGCCTGGAAAGGCAAAGTCGTCTCCCAACTGAGGGGGGGAGGGGCAGCTGCCCCCTGGAGCGGCTTCCACGTGCCCCTTTAAGAATTCCGCCCTCACTGGGGACAACCTGCTCGAGGGGCTGGCTCAGTGGAGGCAGGGAGGGGCAGCGAGTTGAGTGGCTTCTAATCCTAAGCTGCTTACAGAGGACCATCTTGACCTCGGGAGGGGGGGACTCACCCAGAGCAACTTAAACCTTCAGCTAGCCCAGAGGTGGACCTCCAGAAAACCTCTTCTGAAGCTAAAGCAAAAGCGCAAGGCCATCCTAGAAGCCCCGTCAGGTGATTATAGTCAATGCCCAGAGTAGGCAAACCCCTGGAGGCACAATGGAGGCAAGAGGTTGCCAGGGGCTGGGGCAGGGGAGGGAACGGGGCTTCCCCTGGGGGTGACGCGGGGTCCTGGAATCAGACGGTGGTGGTGATGGTCACCCAACGCTGCAAATATATTTGAAACCCCTCACTGTACACCTTAAAATAGTTCCCATGGCAGAGTCCAAGGTGAGGGCTGTCTCTGGCCTCGACAGGCGTCCCAGGCCGCCTCCCAGCCCTCGCCGGTCCTCAAGGAAGAAGTGTCTGCATTCAAACGTGCAGGCAGGAAATCCAGAACGCACCTGACTGGCCCCTGAGACAACCCAGAGGAAGCCCGGAGCGCAGAAGCAGCCTGGGAGCAGAGGAAGCAGAGGCCTGTGTCCAATCCCCTCTGCCATCTCCTGGCCACGTGACCCTGGGTAAGTCACCTTCTTGGAGCCCTGCCTCTAAAGGAAGTTCGGGACAAGCCAGACTGCTAGTGAACACTCAACTTGACACAGGGCTACTATCCTCCATTTATTTTCCACTCTGGAACTTAAATGCCAGCCGGCAGCTCTCTTGGCTCCGGGAAGCACCCACAGAGCCCTGCAAGGCACTTTTACAAGCGATTCTAGGTGGGTTCCCCTCTAGGGCTGGAATAGAATCGGGGTACCTGGCGGAGGGGCACCGAGACACCACATCAGCTTTATTCAGGATCCAGGTGAATTAAAAACAGACCCCTGGCCAGCTGACTCCTTACCATGGAAGTGAGCTTTCATTAGGGAAAAAGAAACAACGAATACACTATCACTTAAGGCCAGCACCCTTCCCAAGAGTAGGTATGATGACCCCCCCGCCTCACAAATGAGGAAACGGAGTGGTTCACGGGGGTTAGAATGTTGCTCTTCATGGCCAAATATAAGATCCCTAGAAACATTTCTTAAGTTCCAGATCAGGACGTGAGGCAGTGTGCAACGCATCCCTTCCGAGGGGGTCTGTGACCTGCCTCTCTCTCCTAGAGGGGCCCTGCAGATGTGTCTGCCTGGTCCTCACACATGCGCACTACCCCGCCAGCATGCCCACACCCACACCCACCGGCGTGGAGACACACAAAAACGCACACACAAAAACGCGCCTGGAACAGCCAGAGCCGGCGGTGAGGGGAGCGAGCACCTTTCCCCAACGCTGAGTCCTCGGGCGCCCCTCCCACGCTGAGGGTTACCGATCCCCAGCCTGCGAGAGGGGATGCGGGGATGCGAAGACACGGTGCAAGAGACGTGTATTTTCCTCCCTACTGGTGCTTTTCAATTGATACATTTTTTAAGCCAAGAACTCCTACTGATAGCGCAAAAATGAGTCATAGATCAAGGAGGGAGACAGACAGGGAGTGAGCGCTGGTGAGTGAGGGCCACTAGCAAGGAAACCTGACAATCCCCGCGCCCCCTCCCCCCCATGCCAAGACATTAATTCTCACAAGTCGGAGAAAATTACTATGCATGAATGCAAAAAGCATGATCAGGAGTAATTAACATGGCTTCATATGCAAATTTTATTAATGCAGAAGTACAAAGTCATTATGCAAATGAAACTTACGTCAACTCTCTTGACAAATATTCATCTCTGAGGCTCAAGTTTCTCCCTTTTTATTTATTTATTTAATTTTTCTCCCCCCCCTTTTCTCCCGGTTCTTTTTTTTTTCTTTTAAAAGGTGGGGGGGGCAGGGGTAGTGCCGGTGACCGCTCGAACAGCAGCAGCCAGCCATGAGGGCTGTTTGACAAGTTTGCAAAGTTGTTTTTCAACCAGAGAAATTTATTCTTGCATTGTTGATTTTTTTTTCGGTTGTTAGCAGGTACAAGACAGCTCATAGGAGAAGAGGAAAAAATTTAAAAAAAAAAAATTAAAAAAAAAAAAAGCTCTGGGCAGCAGGCAGCCAATCAAAACGCCAGAGCCTGTAATGAGGGCGATTGATGGCTGTTTGGCTTTTACTGCAGGGTAATGAACTAGAATCTAGTCTGAGGAGGGGGGAAAATATGAATATTCATGAGACTGTGCTCCTGCCTTTGATGATTAAAGAAATTTTTAATATTCAAATAAGCGCTTGCCAAGTGATTAACAAAGAACATGCACGCAGAAATATGGAAATGTGAGCCGGGAAAGATTTGAGAGGCGAACAGACTGTTGGAAAGGCAGCCCCAAATTTCATAAACAAGATCGGCAGATAACCCAATTCGCACACGGGCAAATAAAAACATTTCTTTCGGATCGCTTAAATATTTTGCCAGCTACTTTGTCTTAAGGATGATAAAAATGCTATGTATGGGGGGGGAGGGGAGCGAGACCGAGGAATCGCGTGAAGTCAAATGCACCGCACCACACCACTCGCCCCCGTAAGAATCATCCCAATTCTAGCCCCCCCTCCCCCAACCCCGACGGGAAATCAGGGCTCTTTTTCCGGTTTGCTAGAGAGAGAGGATGGAGGAAAGCCAGCTCAGGCTTGAAAACTCAGTGCTGGAGGTTCGG